TGTATTGTATCTGATCCTCAGAGTTTTATTTCATGATCTTCGTAGCATGCCATTTACAGTATAATAAAAGCAATTAAACAGTGTTATTTGTAAATAACTGTTTGGCAATAATCAAAGTTAAGAACATATTAAACTTTTCTAAATAAGTAACACTGTAAATTAACGGTTAGAAATTCGCCCATCAATAAAAGAGTAAAGTGTTTGCATAGCAAAGTGTTCAGTGCTAAAATTATTCTATTTCGTATGCAATTACTGTTGTAGAGTATTTCAAAACTCAAAGAAACAAAAGTAACCAACTACCGGGATTCAGTCAGCCAAATTTCTTGCATACTTGAAAAGCACATGCGCAAGAAGTATTTATCAGGCAGAAATAAATATACGACTATTTATAGCTGATGGAAAATTTTGTGCGTTGACGTTTGACAGAGCGTAAGAAATATGAGGTGACAAGTTGAGCGACAATCAACACACAATTATTTCTGCTCTTTTGCCGTTTACATTTACCACTGCTACACTCATTGCTCTGCTCAGGCCCATCCTTCAATAACTTTTACTTACTTAACTACCTGTACTCGCAGACCAGACTGCGCATTATGTATGCACATGTATATTATTACTTGTCTCTATTAGTCTCTCAGTTTGAGTTATCTCATGAAATGAAACAGTTATCTCCTAAGTCTCTCTCCTTCGATTCTACTGAGCCTAGAACTGAAAATGGAAACTGAGCTGACTTTTCACATTTCACATCACTCGTTCATATTGGTTCTCACCGGCTATTATTTGTTGCATATTGATCGATCACTTTTTGAAATCATAACAGCATGCAACTTAAATACACGCTTGTGAAACTTTTCTCATTTATTCTGTCTGCTAGAATCAAAAGTTTTTCTTTCTCTCTTTGCGAAATTTGATGGCAGGTTGTCGTTCTGCTCTAAATTTTGCTTATTTCAAGCTAGCAGCTCTAGTGGATTACATTTATATTTCCCTCTCAGTACTCACTAAATTTCTAGCCATTTTAGATCAAAAGTGGTATAAAATGCATTTTTTCTTAGCAGAACTGATGAATGATAAGTGCTGGATTAGTATTATCTTTATGCAAATGTTAATCTGAAGTGTTAGTCTCATAATGGAGGCTTAGCACACCGAATCATTCAAGTGTTCACTATATCGAATCGATCAGAGGGAGAAATTTCTAACACATTTTCAAGTAATTAGAGCAATTAAAAGTTAAAAACATGAAATCGATGGAACAATGCACTTTCTCATATACTTACGTTGTGACGTCGTCCCCGTTGAAATCTTATTGGAAACGGTGTTATTTTCTTGCCATTCATCGTTTCCTCATGTGATTAATTTCCATTCTTATTTACAATTACTTCTCACTCTTTGTCACAGTTACTGTCATTCTTCTTCTGTATTGCTGTTCACATCGATAAGTTAAATTGTAGGGCTATTTCCTACTTTCGTCTTTGCTTTCTGCAGTTTGTTGAGTATTTTTATCTGTAGACATGTGGCAAAAAATTCTGGTTTTCAGGCCTTTGTTGAACGAATGGGTAAACAATAATTATTACTTGACGATTTTCTCCATTGTGAATATGTTTATGTCTCTTTCCATTGATAATTTCAGTCACTCGGAAGGACATTTTCTCAGTCACTTCTATGAATTTAATTCCTTTTTTTGAATATGCTAAAAGTTAATTACTAGCACAACTCTTGTCTGCTGTAAATCTCATCAGTTATCCCGTGAGAGTGATTCAAACTTTCCGTGATTCATCCAATCAGCTCGCAGCAATCAGTTGGTGACGAACGATAATGGCCATTAATCGCTATTTCGGGCTCATAAAATTACAGTAAGCTCCGGCAGCACCTTGTTCACTTTTTGCTATGAATTACGATAATTTTTCAAACTTGTGATTTCAAACTTTTGTACCTGCAAATTGGACAATTTTTTTTAGGATGATTACTCTGAAAATGACTAGAAATAACCTATTATCCAAAAATTCAAAATTCATTATTTTTGCTTGCTAGTCAATTAGTTTCTCTATGAATTCTCGGCAGATTGTAATTTTAATAAAAATGTTGTACTTAATTGTATTTGTATGCGTGTGAAAGAAAGTCTCTGTCAGGTTAATTGACATGGGGTTAAAGGTCAAATACATGATATGAAGCTTTCCAGTGGTCACTATCTTGTTTGACCTTTGAGATAATGGCCTTTCCTTTCTTTTCTTGTCAGCTCTCAGCAAAATGAACTTCCTGCTGAGATTATTTGCATTCTTTTTTTCTCTTGTTTTTGCACCTGTTTTCAATTTGTTACTTCAAGTCTTTTCCACTTACCTGAGGCACTCTTTCCTTTCTGCTCTCTGTCTTCACCATGGAACATCGTTAGCGATTGCACTCCTGAAATTATATGCAAATCACTCTCCTTTGCGACGTAACTCACTCATTTCAGTTTATTTATATCTACACAATTTGTTACAAAAATTATTGCATTCAAATTTTATTGCTTTACTCTATTCTCTGAGTTTCTTTCGAATAAAAAACTTTTAAATTGTCATTATGGATTGTACTTTTTGCGGTGTTCTATGAACAAAACCAGCAAGCCAATGTAATTACCAAAGTTCAGCTTTTTTTCA